CTGTTCATCAGTCTGCTAACTTGCTGTAGAAATTAGTTTGTGATGTTTTGGGAGGAGAGGAGGAAATGTGCTTTTTCTGAGCTTCTGCATAGAAATATTCCTTGTCTGCCAGCGAAGATAGCCAAGTTGCTTCTGAGTCAGTGTGCTCCTTTCTTCTGACTGTTGTGGTATCAAGTTGTGAATCTGAGTTGGAGTGATTCCTTCTGGTTATGTTCCTCTGCTGTAGGATGTAGGAAAACAGTAGAAAATATATGTGAACAGTAATTAAACAGGAGTGAGACTCTGGCAGAGGATATGATTCACTTACCAGTCTGAGAAAACTGTCTTCCCAAGTTTTATATCCAAGGTGGCAGCATAATTTAGTGAGCTTGCTTGATGTAAGGATCAGGTAAATATATTGATGTAAGGAATACCGTTTGCATTGTCTGCAAGCTTTCGTTGAACATAAAGGCAGCAGAACAGGAACTAGTCCGCAACACAGGAAAAGAACATGCCAGCAATGTGCTGGAGAGATCTTCTGCTTACCCATTTAACAGGAAAAGACAGTTTTGACAGGGTGTGAGGGCTGTGTTTTAAGGAACCTTGTTTATGGAATCCTTTTACAAATGTTGATATGTACCCTGGTGATGCTAGAGTTAGTGGTGTGATGGTGTTTGGGGGACTGATGGCTAATGGTCCTCTCTGATAACAGCTAAAAAGCCAATATGTCCATGGCTATGTTCTACAAAATAAAGGTTAGGTTTTTCCTTCCAAAGGAAGTTCCAGCAGTTACTGATTGCTGGGTGTGAAGTCTGCCAATTTACAGCATACAAATACAGAACATGCGTTTCTTTTCACTGAGATAAAGCCTAGTGAAGCAGTGGAAACAGGACATTGCCCTTATATCTTGATCCTTGCATTCAGAACAACAGTACAGCGGTGGGGCACTGTAATACGTTCATCTATTTATTTGCTGTTACTTTTCACATGAAGTAGTAGGAAACTTTCTTACTCTTCCTAGGCTGAACCCATATATTTTACAACTGAGTAAAGTAGAGATCAGTACCTGCTGTTATGAATGATCCACCCTCCCTCAGGTTCTTTTATGAACTGTGTGATTATACATCTCTCACTTGCGGTTCTCTTCTCTCTTTTACTTCAGATGACCGTTCATAGTTCCTCCGTAGTCTGTGTGGCAGGTCATCACCTCCTGTTGGGTTTTCTGTTCCAATAGTTCACAGACTTCTTGGCCCATTTCAAAGTTAGCAAAAATTCTGTGAGGGGAAGGGACCAGAAGGTCCATCTGTTCTCTGCAATCTTGCTGTTCTCCCCCTGTCCCCCCGCATTTAATATGTCCTCTGGGATTTGTCTTGGAAGATACCTGGAACACAGCACTGTTTCAGTGGTAGTCACAAAATAGTTGTGGTGCACAAGCGTGAGAGAGTAAAAACACATTCTTGTCATTTAGTAGATCTCAACTTTGATTATGGGATTTTTTTTTTCAAGGCAATCACTGCAAATTTATTATTTATAAAAGAAAATGCTCCCCTCTGTCCCCCTCCCACCCTTCCTTGACAAATTATTTGAAAGCAACTAGCTGTTTTTTCTAGCGGAAAAGACACAATAACTGTAACGTGTAATCTAACCAGGCATGTGCTTAGTGAAACGTAGTTTCCTAAAAAGCAAATGTGGAATGAGGATATAGAAGCATGGGAGCACACAGTGGTGGTGATGGCATGTTACTGAGGGACTAACTCAGGTCCTTCCTTACGTACCAGAAAACCCCATCCTTTAAATCTAGCTAAAAATCAGTTTTTTGAAAATTACTTGCTAGCAGATGGTATTCATAGAATTAACTAATAAATCGGGTGTTTTAAAAAAACTTTCAGTCATAATAAATGAGTCTTTTTCTTACCACTGTTCTTTGGAGGGCATGCTATTTAAGGCGTTTCAAGAGGACATGTAAATGTGTACATTTCTCTACTGGTTGTATAAATATTTTAATTTGGACAGATTTGCTTACATATTCAGAGTCTGAATGCACTCATTTAAAATTGCCTTCTTCATATTTGTTTTGATAAATGTTTTAATTCTGCTTTACTGACTAGTAAGTGTAGGACCTTAAGAATACTTATTTCTGATGATTGTTGGTAACAGGAAACCTTTAACCAGTTGAGCAGATTTGGTGTGAAGTGCTAAATCCATTCTTTTGCCAAATAGGTGGGATGCTTTGTAATTTAGAGTCTGTGGTTCTCTTAATCCAGGTTTTGGAAATAAGTTTACTTTGGGATTATGAAGAGGTGTTACAGGCTGAGGCTTTCACAGGTATCTGAACTAAATGCTCAGCCAGGTTATTTTGTTTTCTGAATGTAGAAGCTAGAATGTACAAAATGAGTTTGCAGTTGGCTTCGGTAGGTTGGGTCTTTTTACCTAAAGTATAGAGGTTGTGAATTTGCAATGTGAGGAGATATTCTGTGTGTCTTCTACATGGCTGTCTTGCTTCATTTTTCAGGAAGGAATGGTGGAAGGTGTCTCTGTGTTAGAATTGTAAGGCAATTTGCATTTTGGCCTGTAAATCCATGCAAGACATGAAGTGATGATTTGCATTTACAATTTCATGTCAGATGCTCTAATTTTGCAAAGATTGTTAAAGTTAGATCTGAGAAGTGCAAAGTCCCCTGTTAATTTCAGTGCAAGCAGCATCATAAATACAAAAATCCAGGTCCACTGAAACGTGAAGAAAGTTCTTAAACCCTACGTGACCTACAGCAAACTGCTGCTTTCTGATAAAAATTCAAATGCTTCATAACGCTCTCCTTTTCCCTCATCAAGGAGGAGTCAAATGGAGGGAATTAATTGTGGTATTTGAGAGAAAGGAGAGAAAGTAAAAAATCAAAGTGATTAAGCAAACTGTATTAAAAGGGGAAACCAAAAATTGCGCATGATCCTCTTGAGTTCATAGTGAAAATGGTGTCTCATTTTGTAACTGTCTTGGAACAATGCTGCTACTCTTTTTTTCCCTTCCTTGATTTTTTTCATTGAGAGGTGTGTTTCAGAAACTTTTGACGTAGTACCTGTAGCAGGGGAAATTTGAAAAATAAACCTGTGGATTTACTCAGATATACTTCCGTCATTGAGTAGCCTTAATTATCAAATATCTTGCAAAGATGAATCACACATGCTTATATACGAAAAAAATTAGAACTTTGAAAATAAAAAAAAAAAAAACAAACCACAAACCCCTCCACTCTTTCACAGTTCAATTGTAACACTTCAGTTAAAGTAGCCTCCAAGCTAAGGTTTATAATAAAACCAGTGCATTTATGTTTAAATACACAATGGGAAGCTTTCTGAATAAAAATAAAATACCATAACATATTCCTAGAATTAATGGAACTGCCTTGTAGAAAATTATTGTCTGGATAACAGGTTAAGTAAGATTAGCTGGTATAGTCTGAATTATAAATTGTACCTTTGTGTTGTATATTTTCCAGTGCAGTCTAGGGTATGAAGAGTGGTATACAAACAACAACTAAATCTTAACTTTTTATATCTCCCTGCAGGAGAAAAGATACTACTATTGCTTTACCTGAAGGATTTTTATTTGCGATTGGGGCTTGTGTGTTTATACATAGACTTACAAATGCTTCAGCTTTTAACAACTGTAGGGTTTTGCTATGTAAAACTACATAAATCTTAAAATTGTGTACGTCATAATCAAGTTGAATCCCAGTATGAGAGAAAATGAAGGCATTTAAATTGTCTTTAAAATTGTTGGTAACAGTCTGGTGGTAAAACTGCCGGATTTCAACTGCTTGGCAATTCACTACTTCTTTATGAAGGGCAGGATTTGCCTCTTGGTATGTTCAATAATAAATACCAAGTAGTTGCCAAGTATTGAATTAGAGACTTTATTTTTCTACAGAAGGTGAATTTTAAGTACTGCCACTAAAAAATCACAGAAGATAAAGCTGAAAAAGAGTTCTGAGACGTCATCTAGCCATGTCCCAATTTTCTGCCCCAGAAGGGATACAAAGAATAGAGCCAATGTTTTTAAAGCTTTTGGGTTATGGAGAGAGGAGGAGGGTAGAGGAAGTAAAAACCTGTCCAGGTGTACTTTCATGTCCCCCTTTTTCCTTGGTTTGTTTTTGTGTGTGTGTTACTGTCAGATTTAGAGCAGTTGCACTCCTTTGTTGTTTCTCTTCTTAAATTCCTCCTTCAGGGTTTTTCTCTTCTGGTCAGCACTTAAATATTCATCTCATGGACATGATCTGTTGCTTACCACTGCTTAACCTTACTTGGATAAAGCCCATTATAGAGCCTAAACCTGTTGTTTCAAAGTAGACAGATGCACATTGGAGGCTGTTTAGCTTCTAGGTATTCGTCACTACCATGAGTGTCCAGTTCTGCCCCAGGAACAATTTGTGAGTGCTCCCAAGTCTTTCAGACAAAACTGGCTGAGGTAGTGGTTTTGTTAGATGGCTTCCTCTTCAGCAAGTGTAAGTGAATTGACTTGAAGTGAATTAGGAAGAACAAAAGCTTTTGGCATAGCTGCAGGCTTCCGACAGGACTGGTTTTGGCATAGTTGTTTGCAGAGTGAGTGTCTGTTTACTGCTTTCTTGGATGAAAACATTATTTTGTCATCTCTTGAGGTTTACATCTGAATAGAGTCTGAAACTGCGTTTTTACTGATATGGAGAATTGAGAGCTTGGAAACAGTGATAAGTTTTGAGTGTTTGTGTTATATAAATAACAGTAAAAATTACTCCACTGCATACTCACTGGTTTAAAAAAAGGAGGACAAAGCCATAAACATCACTTAAATAAGCAAAGAGGGCGTACCCATGTAGCATGGATGAAGTGTTAAGCATATGACTTGTTTTTGTAAAGCTAGATTTTAAAAATGAGGAATAAAATTGCTATGAAAGACATTCTGTGTTATGTAAGGGAAAAAAAATTCTTTCAATTTTGTGTTTATGTTTACAGGTTGACTAAACTAAGAATCTTTTTTTAGGGCATCCAAGATGGATCTCAAGTGTGCTCTGGAAGAATGTTCAATGGCACTGAACTTATTCCTAAACAATAAGTTCTCTGAAGCCCTGGAACTTCTTCGTCCATGGTAAGGTCCTGTTATTTGCTGAAGTTGCTGTGAACAGATAGTGTAAAGTATGCTATCTGGTAGCTGGAGATTAATTTAAGGCCTCTGAAGAGGCCTTAGATTTCATTTATTCCCTTTTGTCCAAAGGCATTTCTCAGTATCTTTGGGTTTTAGCAGTGCGCTTGTTTCTCCTTAAGATGATAGCAAAACCTGTTGATGAAGCACTGAATGTTCATTTAGAAAACTCTGGTAGAGTTTATCATTCGCGCTGCCTTCCCTGATTTTTCGCCTCTGGATGAGGAGAGAAGAATTTATTCAATGTCTCTTTAATCCAAGAATTTGTACAGTGGAACTGCTTTTGACAAGACAACAAAGCTGGAACAAAACTCCAGAATACTCTTTCTGTTGCTTTTTATGTTAAATTTGAGTCATAGCAATGTTTACCCTTAAAGCCCACCCTTTGCTTTTCTGACTAGTTCTGCCTGTCCCCCTGTTGCCTTTGCCCCACTGAGAAGAAAAGCATGGCAGTGCAGATGTAGGGAACTAAGGAGTAGTGAGAGGTTTGTAGGGTAAACCTAGCTTACCTGCGACTGCATGGGGAGGCAGTCTGGGTGGCTGTTCTTTAGGTCTGGGAACTGAATCCCCTTCGCTGCTGTTCTCCTGTCTGTGTCTCAAAGATGTGTATGATGTTGAGGGATGTGTCAATGAGAAGGGTCTGTAGCTTGCGTTAGTAGAGCGAGGTAACGATCTCTCTCTGCAGCTTGGTGATAGTAAGACTGGATTAAGAATGATGGGTTGGTGGTGTTAGATCAGTTGTGCGGACAGGTGGAAGAATGACATTAAATGAAACCTTGGCAGGATGGTGTAGCTATCCAAGTGTTTGCTTTTAGTGGTACAGAGAGCTTAAGTGTAGAGGAGGTAGGCAAGGAATAACACCTTTTCAAATTAGCTATACTTACACCCAAGCTCTTTTCTGTGACCATCATGCAGGGTTATTTGTAATAGAGCAATACTTTGCACTTGTGTATGCTGAAGCTATTTCTAGGTAGTACTGCAAAATGCTAAATTCTACATGCAAGGACTGTGCGTGTGTGACTAAATACACACACACACACACTCTCATTACCCAAATACTTTTTGCATGTTTCATACGTATTTCATTTTGTGTTGTAAAACAAAAAATCTCTTGTTTCATACAATAGTGTTTTTATGTACAGTGAAGTATTTGTTTTAGTTGATGTTTGCTATGAGGAAAAAAAATATTCTACACTCCATGATTTTGATGCCTTGAATCCCTGGCAGATAATAGACTTTGAGCTTATTATATAGCATATTCAGCTAATCTGCAAAGGAGGACCTAGCCTAGCAAGGAAACAAAAAAACACCTTTAAAAAAGAAAAAGCCCAATTGTTTTATTGAAAAATAGCCTTTTAATGAAAGCTAAACTTAAGCCCTAAATAATGCAAAAGTTTTAGGGACAGTGTTGATATATTTAAGAAATAAACACTTAGCTCAAGGGTCTGTCTTGTTTGACTCTGCTAAAATTTCCTGTCTTCAGAAACTACATTTGGCTCCTTGATTTAGGGGGAAGAAAAAAAGTTGAGGAAGCTGGAGAGGATCCAGCAGAGGGTTAGTAGCATGGCTAGAAGACTAGAACATAAGACTCATTGAGTTTGTGAGAGCTGGGTTTGTTTGGCAAAAAGGAGACTTGGTGATTAAACTAATAGCGCTCTGGAGCTATTGAGGGGAAGTTGCAAAGACAGAGGCATCTATGTCCGTAGTGCTGGATGGTAAAACAAGAGGTAGTTGCCACAAGTTGAGGTTTAGGAGATTCGAATTGGACATTAGGAAGAGGGCACATTGATAGTACAGTAGCAGAGAGGCCGCCAGAGGGGTATGCAGTCTTCGTTTCTTTAAACCTCTTGAAGCTTGGTTAGACAAAACCTGAGTGTGCCTGACGTAACCTTGGCAGTAGGGCTGCTGCAACTGGTAGGTTTGACTATATGACCTCCAGTAGCTACTTTCCAACAACAATCTTTTTTCTTTTTTTCTTTTTCTTTTGATTGTGTAATTATGTTGTGAAAACCAGGCTGGTTCAGTGTAGCTTTTTATGCAAGACTGAGCGTGTGTGTACTGGCTTTTCTGTGACACAAATGTGGATATTTGTATCTTTGGATAAAGTAGTAATGTTACGATGATGTCCTTACTTCTGATGTTAAGTGAAAGCAGACAGATGAGTATTTATGTCAAGGCTTAATTAGCTAAGTTAAATAGATATACCAGACTATAAATGGCATATAATTAAGTGCAAGTGCTTGTGTAACCCAGTTTGGATATTTTCTGGAACTTGCTGTGACACTATCCTGTGGATGCAGATGCGTAGCACCCAGTGGAAGATGATACTTGCTAGGTTATGTTGTCACGTCCATTACTTTCCTACTTTATTATTCTCACTTTTCACAAATTAAAGCAAGTATCTCGATGTTTAATTTTGTACTGTAATTCAAAGTTTTGCTTAAATGCTCAAGATTCGTATGTTTGCCCTAGGTCTAAAGATAGTATGTACCATGCCCTTGGGTACAGCACTATTTTAGTTATGCAAGCTGCTATGACCTTTGAACAGCAGGATATACAAATGGGAATTTCTACAATGAAGGACGCTTTGCAAACCTGCCAAAGGTAAGCCCAAGCAATGAACATTTATGAGGTACTTAATCCACTAAGTGTTCTTTGTAAGATATCCCAGCTGTCTGTACACTTTCAAAGCAGGCTATTGTCAGTATGACAACAGTGATCTGAATTTGAAAAGGTAGAGTAAGTGTCACTGTCCAATTATTATTGGTAAGGGTATATTTCCTAGTATTGCAGAAACAAAAGACTCGTTGGCTGTGGGCATGTGTAGCCTCTAAAGTTAGTTAAATGGCAGGTTGGCTTTGTAAGCTGACACTACGTGATTGACCTGCCTGAACTATTTCAACCTGTGACTGTCTTCCACAGGGATCAAGAATTTAAAAACTCAATATTTTGAATTTTCCATTTCATCATGAAAATTTTTTTTTTTTCCAAAAAGTTGTTTTCAAAGGTGGACCGAGTAGTCTAATAGGATTAAGCTTGTGCTGAAGTTTCTTCTAAAACCAAGCAATTTTTAAATTGTTGTTACGAATGTGACTGTGTAGTTACCTTAAAATTAAAGGACTGATGTTCCCATCAAGAATGACGTGAACCTTTTGCTTCTGGTCTTGCTTGGAACAGCAATGAAATAGAGTAGAAAGTAGAAGTTATTAGTGACCTTTTTTTTTTTATTTTTTTTTATTAAAAAAACCTTAGAAAATGGATTGTCAAAGCTAAAGTGATTAATGACTCTCTGATAAAACCAGAAACCAGTGCTTTATTCTACTGTACTGGTTCATCATATTGGTTAGGCCATAATTTATCATGAATGGTTTCCAAAGAAATTGCCTCTAAATGTTGTTAGTTTAAACATTTAGCATCACCTCCTTAGCAATGGCAAAAGAAAAGGAAATGGGTCAAAATTACCAGATGCTACCTGAATGAAGAAAATAAAGGGTCAGCAGTTTCTGCCATTTTCAGGTGTGCTATCGTTTCACAGTTTCATCTGAACTATTTTGTTTAGTATGTCTGAAGATTAGTTTCCTCTTACTACTTCAGGTAGTTTCAGTAAGGGCCACTGTCTCTGCAGGATATAAACTTATATGCGTAAGTGCTCTGGTCTAGTCTGTCACAAAACTCAAAAATGTGGGGTGAAGAATTGCCAGAACTACATGTGGCTTAATTGAACGTGGTTTTGGTAGGCTTTATGTTAACCTGTAGTGTCATAATTGTGTCTTCAGGATCCTATGCTTTTCAGTGTGCAGAATAGTGTAAACAAATGATAAGCTAATGCTCAGTATTTATAATTAATGACTTCCTGGCTTACAAAATACATTCCTTTTCTGAATGTAGAATTGTTTCTTCAGCTTCTTCATAAAGCTGAATTGTTTGTAAATAGTAGCGAATTCATTTCTGGAATGTCATACTAAATTAAACTAGCAATTTATAACATGGACAGTTGAGATCTGTTGAAAGTAAAATATAGAACTGTTTTGGCATCATATCTGCATAAACCACCATAAAAATACTGAAGTATTAGAGCTCCTTTTGACTTTTCATTCTAATCCTTAGCGCAAGTTTAATAAATGGAAAAAGGTAGTCCATAAAACTTTGAAGTCCAGTTCAGTGGCTTGCCCAGTGTCAGAGAGACCTCTGTGGTAGGTGGAAGTGGAAACTATTGTACGCTTCAAGTAGGTTAAATGCATGCTTGGAACATGAGTCAAGGTTGGATAGGCTTCTGAGCCTAGATGCATACCGGTGGCCGTGATTAGACTACTCAAAGATTTGCAACTACTGGTAAATCATCCCATTCCTAAGAATGTCTATGAATTTAGGTTGGAAATGTTTAAGAGTTGTAAATGATTAAGTTCGAGTTTGTGTTGAAATGTCGCTTATGCTGTGTGGGTTTTTCTTCCGTGTACAACTGATTTAGATTCAGAAAAAGAAGCACAGTGGTGGAATCCTTGTCCAATCTAGTTTCTAAACAGTCAGCGGATCAGTTGACTGAAGGTAAGTAGTTTATCATAAAATTAAAATAACAAAGTGAAAAAAGCTCAAAAACATCCTACCAACATGTACTAATAATGCTTAACCACCTGTACAGTGGGTTTTTTTGAATATGAATGCAAAGCTTCTCAAAATGAGGGATTCAGCCCCATTTTTTTTTTTGGCTCTGAGTATGCATGAATTAAGAAATGAATGCTTTTCACAATGCATTATAGGAGTGAAGAGAGACTTTTTTTATCTTTAACTTAAGACAGCTTTGAAAAGTTTAAGAATCATTGGTGCTGAGGAATAAGTCCTTATCATTAGTTGCATTGGAATCTGAATATATTAACAAGTTCTGTGCTTGTCTGTTTTGCCTTAAGGTGTTTTGGGAAATGGTATCAGTACATTGTTCATGGCTCTGAAAATGCCGATCTCCTATTTCTGATTCGGGCAGAATCAAGTATGCATTTTTTTCTAACCTGACACAAAAGAATCCTCTTTGATACTGGACACGTCAAAGTCACCATGTGTGCACTGTACATGCAGCAGCCTTGTGCATGTGGCTGGTCTTGCAGCATGGGTGCAGAGTAACTCGTGTCATGTGTGTTGAGTCAGATGTAATTCAGTGCTGCATGGGGACAGAAAGTCTGCCTGGTGCGTTCGTTGTGCTGAGCATGACTTGGTGAAAACCTGTTCATAATGTCTTACTGGACTTTGAAAAAGCCTGAGCTACAGTGAGTGTTATCATTCATCTGTAAAAGTTTTTTCTAAGACATGGAAGGAGGGTTGGAAGAACTAGTTGCTGTAGGCTGATATTTAAACTTAGGATCAATGGAAGGTACCTGAGATCATCTACCAGAATGACAAATAGCTGTTGCCATAGTCTGAAGTCAGCTCTGGCAAGATCAAAGGTGTTGTCTGAGGAGAAGTGAAATAGAAGACTATTTTTAGCTAGCTTCCCAATTACTACTTCTGTTGGGATTTGTGTATTACGGCTATTATTCAGCAGTTACCAAAACAGCAACAGCAGAACCTTGCTTTTTTTTTTTCTTTTCTTGGCAGCATTTCATTTGTTCCATTTACTACAAAAAGAGAATATTGACAATAACTTCACTGATAGTAAATAACTTTTCTTTCTTACATAGAGGAAATGCATGCTGAAATCTGCTATGCTGAATGCTTACTACAGAAAGCAGCTCTCACCTTCGTACAGGTAAAGTCGATAGTTTATTTTGTATCTCTGTGTAGCAGTTTAATAGAAAGATGTTAGTACTTGTAAAACAGCGTTCCCACAGTAGATATGCTATTTAAGAAAAACTTTTTCCGAGCGAATGAATGTTACTTCATGGCAGTGATTGAAAGTAGGGTAAATGCTGTGCTACCTGGTCAAATCCTCTCATTGTTCATATGAATAACCAACGATGTTATTGATACCCTGGAGGCAAAAACCTAAGATATATTGCAGTCTTATGCAGATGGTATGTTTAAGTGACTTACCTCACACTTGACAGTGTCCAGCACTTGCTTAAAAAGATGTTCAAGTATGAGGAAATGTCTTGTTTGAAAGCGCAAGTCTTTTTTTCACACAAAAAGGATAGAATGTTCGCCAACTAATAAAAATTCAACTGGTGTGTAGCTGTCTTCAGTATCGCTCTTCATCATACTTTTGACATGGTGTTAGGAACAATATGGTAATGAATGATTATAAAAGGAGCATTCCTTAGTTTTACTGAGGTAATAATCCACTTCACAGAAAGATCTACCGTTTAATACTGCCTGGTTCTTCTTGTTTAGCTTGTGGTTCAGGGACTTCATGCTACAGTGTTTTCAAATGCGATTTGAAATTTGATTCCTGAAAACAGGAGTTGTTAGTGGTACTTTATTTTATGTATGTGAGTGTTTTACAAATGTTTAATGAATGTATTTTAGATAATCCCTTTGGAGGCACAAAGGTATTAAGATGAGGTAGACCTAAAAAGTTAATTTGGTAAAGCTTTATAAACCACTTAATATAGTACTTTGGCTAGAAGTGTCAGGAAATATTATTAATGGAATGTCAGTCTTTCCTATAACTGATATTCTCCTTTACTAACCAAATGGAAGCAACCATCTTTTTTGTTTTGTAAGTGGGGTTTTTTTAAGCATAAAGAGATTTTTTTTAAACAGCTGTTGAAAGAGGTAAATTTAGGACTGTATAAAATGGGAAAAAAAACCAAATACAACCCTTAGGGGTATACTTTCTGTAAAGCAGCACCTCACTCTCTGTCATGTCAGAGATCCATTGCTGTTGACTATACCATCCTGTTCTGCTGATTGCTGTCATGCCCAATATTTTTCATCCTTGACTGACCTTGATTCATCTGAGAATGATGATTATGAATATGTAACCATTCAGAAACAGGTAGCAAGAATGCTTGTACTAAAACACTTGCGTTGGGTATTCAGTCTTGCAGACAAAACAATTGAGGTCTTTTTAAATGGTGACCCTTTTATGGAAGCCAGAATTTCTGTTGGTTGATGATTCTGAGGCTTTTTTTGTTCTTTTTCATTTTCCACATCGTATATGCTGTCCCCGAGTATTTAAATGTGCATTTCTGAAATGCCTGCACACGTTCCCCGTTTATGTGACTTCCAAGAGAAAAAATTCTATCCCGTTGAACTGTTGAATCTTGCTTTTCAGGAATTTATTTTTGATGGCTAGTACATTGTGCCTTTGCTTTGATTTTTTCTGGAGGTTAATAAGAACATATGTTGGGTAGTACTCGTGGGTACTGTTGATCAGCAATGGGAATTCATGTGTTCAGAAGATTCTTGTGTGTGTCAGAATTGGCATTTCAAAACTTTCTAAAGAGGTCCTACAGCACCATCTGGTGGTGAGCTTTCCCGTTTCATTTATATGCATTGGAAATTCTGTTAAAAGTAACTGACTGACTTTTTTTCCCAGCCTCCCTTTTAAGTTTTAAGGTTTGTAACATGCACCAGAGGAATGTTTCCCTGACAACTTAAAGCAAGTGTTAGCATCAGTCTTAGAGATGAGTCTAATGACTGCAAAACATTTTTAGTATTTAATATTTTTTAATATTTCCAATGACTGTTAAGTTATAAACAAATTTAAATTTAGCTGGAAGATTTTTGTGTATGTGTTATACATAATAGCTGAACGCACATTTTTTGTTTTTTTTTTTTTTTTTTCTTCCAGGATGAAAATATGATCAACTTTATCAAAGGTGGCCTCAAAATTAGGACAAGTTACCAAATATACAAGTAAGCCATTAGAAAACACTTAGATTTAGTGTTGGTGTAAGTTGCATTAATGCCTGCAAAATAAAAAGCAATACTTTTATAGCAATAGCAATGATTATACTTCATATAATTTCTAAATCATGTTCCCCTTCCCTCCTTTTTTTTTTCCTGCATCAAAAGAGAATGTCATCAGGTTCTACAGATGACTCAGGGGAACAAAAGCAGAAATGAAACTTATTACCAGTTTGAAGGTGGAGTAAAACTTGGAATCGGAGCATTCAACTTGGTATGACTCTTTCAGACTACAGAAAGGCCACTGGGATAATTCTGTAGGATTCTTTCTTTGCAGACAGAGTACTGTAATCCTGTTTTAAAAATGACACTTTTGTAAAATGGAGATACAGGCTTCGAAGGTTTTATGCAACAGGAAAACAGCAGTGGTTTTTTGCATGCATGCCTTCTTTCTACTAATTCATTCTGAATTGTGTTTAATTCTCTTGGACTGGTTTATGGATGTATTTCTTAAGAGGAAAAGCAGCTTACAGCTACCTGTGTGTAGCAGGAATTTTTAAGATGCCTGTGCTGTTGGTTACAGGGTACCTGGAGTGACTGCTTTTATTCTGACATCCCCATGTATACCATTCTTTTGCTTTAGTGACATAGATAATTACAAATTCGGAAGAATAAACAGTAATTTACTGAGTTTGCGCGAATGAAAAATTGGTACATCTGCTAGCATTTATTTTTTTTTTTTTTTTTTTTTTTTTACAATTTACTACAGTTGCCTTTTCACATATGGCAACAGTGAGAGTTGATTTCTGCTGGTATGTTAATTTTTGTGTCATTCCAGACTGGAGCTGGCCAGTTCTGAGTATGGTCAAAGTAACTCAGGTCTTCAAAACCCAAGCAATTGGTAGATATCTGTGTTGATAAATGCTCTGACCTTCCCTATTCTTCATGGAGTCTGCTTAGTAGGAAGCTTAACAGAAAAAGTCTCTGCTGGGCAGAATGTGTTAGGGAGAATGGAGCTTTCAAACACTGACCTTCAAAGAGACCTTCTAGTAATGCTCGTTGAAAAGGTGGCTGTGACCTTTCTGAGTGTTCTGTTATATAGGAAGTGGAGAATGCAGTTACAAGGGGAACAAAAAGTGCATGTAGTAGAGGGCTAAAAGATGATAACAATAGCTAGTATTTCTAAAACAAGTATGCTTGCTAGTCTGCTAATTCAATGTTCCCATAGTAGGAACAAGTAGAACTTTGTGATACCATTGTGTCATTTGATTGGGAGTAAAGGAAGATGACAATTGTAGATTGCAAGTACTACCAAAATAGATAATACTTTCATTCCAGATGACCCACAATTTTCAAACAATTCTGATCAGCTGAAGACAGAAATCTGTCATTATCTGAAGAAGCACAGCTGGACTCTGCCTTGCTGTTTCCATGCTGGATGATCATCAAAAGTCTGAGTTTCCCTGAAGCGGCAGACTGATTGTGTATTGTTGATCATACGTGTCTATTTTCAAGTTCTTTTTGTGTTGTACTTTTTCACTAATGTATAATGGCATTTAACATAGTAGCTGGCATTTTTGGCTCCAGTTTATAGTGGTTTTACTTTTGGGGAAAAAAAAAGTATGCAAGTTTTTATTTATCTTGGGTTTGTTTGAAATGTATTTCAGATGCTGTCGCTTTTACCAGGAAGGATCCTCCGACTTCTAGAATTTATTGGATTTTCTGGCAATAGGGTATTGGATCTGCTATTTGTCTTTTCAAATTAGTCTTTTATCAGATAAAGAATGGGTGGATTTAACATCATATCTTTCACACTAAAAGTATAATGATCTATATTGTTTATCACTATTTTAGTGGTGTTAAAAAGATGAGAAGTGAGCTAGATGATGCAGGCGTAAAAGCACATATGGTGATATCCTGATCTTGAACAACCATGGGAAATGACCAGTCTGCTTCAGAGGGGCTTTTCCAATTGCAATTTTCTTTCCTCTTGCTGATCCTTGAGGAGAGGATATCAGCTTTCTTTTCTAGCCTGTACAGTCAGGAATGAACGTTCCTCATACTGGTAACTGAGGCGAGAGTCACAGTTCTACATTTTTCCACCAACAATCCCAGCCTATTTCTCTGGGAGAAGGAATTTCTGAATATCATGTGTCACACTGGAATCTCAGTCCATCTCTTTCTCGTGGATAAGGAAAGTATTTGTAATCATAGCCTTGTTTTTGTAAACCTAGCCTTGTTTTGTAAGTATCTTACAGCCCAACTCTTTTTGCCACCCATAAGAAATAAAAATAACCCTGACAACAAACCAAACAAATCAACCCATAGAATTGTGTGTAACTAAACTTCAAGTTATTAATAGGACAAAGAGTCACAATATGGTCTCATTGCTGTAAGTTTGGCCACAAATATGGTTCTGCTTATGTAAAATTAGACTTCAGTAGAGACCTGCTCATTCTTTTTCTTCCTATGAAAACCTGGTTCATGCTGAAGCTCTTCCATAATGGACGTTTTTGCCCTGACTGAAAAGGCAAGGAAAGCTGAAAGGAACAGAACAACCAGTTATAGAGCATCGCCACATTTTTTTTGTATGGTGCTTGAATTCTCCTATAACTTACCAAGTTGCTATGCAATAAAACTCCTGTTAAGTTAATATTTGTTTGGAGGCAAAGCTGTTAAAATCTGATAATGTTCTGAAGAGCTACTGCTCTTGAGCGGGGAAGCTCTGAGCTTGTCTCAACAATCCCCCAAGCAGTGAAGTTGTCATGTAAACTGGAAAGGATGGAAAGAAGTTTCATGTGTTAAGAGCTGAGTAAGTCTACATTGACCTGGATTCCATTTCTCAGTACACACAAATTCCATTGTAGCTTCTGGAAACGGTGTCTAGAAGTTGGTGTGTCAGCAGAGGTAATATTTGGATCAGAACCTGAAAATAGTGGCTGACTTACTGGAAGAGAATTGAGAATAACCAGGGATTTCTGTGAAGGAAGTCTCTTGCCGACAAATAGAACAGGAACAGTTGAGAGAGGTTCTCACCAAGCACAGATTTATCGATGTTATTCTGAAGGGCTCATAGTCAGAAAATAGCGGGGAAGAGATGTATACCCGTGTGTCTGCATGGTCTGTGTGATGTTCCCATTTCACTAGAGCACTGAAATGCATGGGTAATTTTATTCAGTGTTAGCCTAATCTTCTCCTTGCTGTGGCAGAATTGTTTTGGTAGAAGGTTTTATGGATCTGGGATAACAAAGTGCTGAATTACGGAATACTTACATCTGAAAGGAAGACTGGATTTGGGGGAGCCAAAAACTATTAAAAGTAACTCTGTATACTGATAGTTAATTCTGCATGTGTTTGTGATGTTTCTTAGGAGTTGGGCCTCTGTCAACTACGTGAAGGCGCATCTGGCAGCAGTTTGAGGGCCATTCTGTGTACTTTCACCCTGTTGGTTTATCATACTTACGTCTCCTTAATCCTTGGTGAGACCCACTGTGTAGCTGTTCAGTCATGCTGCACTTTATGATAGCTATTGTGATTTTTTTTTTGAACTGAATTTCGAAACTGTGGCCAATTAGCTTTGTAACAGGAGATAGCTGTATACTTAATTATGATCTGAAATGAGGATCTCTGACAAAGCTATGTCTGCAGAAACAGTGAGCGTGGATGCCATTATACCAACATGTTGTTCGATTTCAAGGGCTGTCTCAACATGCAACAGCAAAATATCACAAAACACTTTTAAGTTCAGACAAGTCCTTATCCATAAATTAGTCAGATATTGTGAAAACTATCTCCAGAAAGAAGCCCGTACTCTCAAACAATTTACTTGGAAGTTCAAACATGTAGAGAATTAATTGCTTTTGCTACATGGGGCTAAAAGTCACCATTAATTCTGTATGCATCTTTGACACATTTTAATATTCTTTAGTTTGGAAGTATTTTAGTCCTCATTCCTCAGGCTCATCAGGAAATTAAGGAGAACTTCATTTCTTTCAGTATCACCTGTACTTCATTACTGAGCTCAAAATTAGGAAAGGAGGCAGCTGAGGAATGTTTTCCTAACTTGCTAAAGCAATTAAAGGGATTTAAAAATATAACTAGGATCTGTAATGGAACATTTTAAAGAATATTCATATATTCTATTCTGTTTCTACTTACAGACATTTACTATCTTAAAAGCACTTAGTACCTTCAGGACAATAATTCATTTTTATAGAAACACAATATGATGAAATAATTCTGCTTTTGCATAAAAGCAATCATCTGTTAATCTATTCAAGCCATAATATAATTTGGAAATGAAAATCTTAATCTATGAAACTAATTTTTTTTTTAAGTACATTGAGTTGGTTTGTTATGTTTTCTAGGTACGGGGGAAGCTAACCTTCAGGAAGCAGACAGTCTCCTTGAGCCCTACCTCCATAAATTTCCAAATGTGTGTATTCTCTATAAATGTTTTATCAGCAATGTGCCTCCCTAGGATTAAAATGGTAACTGAGTATTTTTCTCATCTCCTTTGAAGGGTTCCATTATTCTGTTTTATGCTGCCAGAATAGATATACTGAAAGGAAATTTTGAAAAGGTAAATAATTTTTTTTCTTTAAGGTCTTTATTTGTTCAGTGCTTAATTGGGGGGAAAATATCTAATTCATCTAAGTAACTTGTTTTAGTTGGACTGATAATTATGCTCTTACCCCTGTTCATGTTCAGTGTCAATATTGATTTCCAGCTCTCTCTCTGTGAGAGTAAAAGGGAAGTTTATCTCATTTTACTAGTCAGGTGTTCTCCACTTGGGTGCTAGGAAAGAATTTGCTCTGTAATTAGACATGGCTCTCATGTGGAGCAGTAATTGAGCCCATTTTCATCATTCTTACTTAACTACATTTGTAGGCGCAGTTGAGGTTCCAAGAATGCATAGCAGCCCAGCAAGAGTGGAAACAGATTCATCATCTCTGTTACTGGGAATTGATGTGGTGCTACACCTTCCAGCAGAACTGGCTTCAAGCATATCGGTATGCAGACCTGCTCAGCAAAGAGAGCAGGTGGTCTAAGGTAAATGGGCAGGTGGACGTTGTTGTAATGTACCAGTAGCCTCTCCACAGTTAAATTTGCATTTCAGTTCACACAATAAGTGTAATTTTTGCTTTCTTCTGAAACCCATAAGCAAAGGCACAACGGCACCAAAAAGGTAGGTTTAACTGGCTGGTTAAGGAGGAATTTTTATTGCACATTCTGAAGCACCAGAGCCATAACTAGCAATGCTTCAACCCCTCTTAAAACAGAGCTACTTAGCAGAGTTGTGATGAAAGAAGAGGGAGAGGAAAACTGTTAACCTGCATCTCAATTCAAGTTCTAACACTCGCTAACAAAACTTGGCTGAAGAAACTATGTTTGTTAGTTAATTATAAACAGACAGGAGCAGGCTTTGTAACATGAAATGGGAAGGCTGCTGGAGACAGGGTCTCAGAAGAAAAGTTGGGGTATCTGCCTTTTCCTCATAAAAACGTTTCTCAAAGCATGAACCAAGCAATGTGCAAATAATTTTTGATACATCATTTTTTTTATCCTTTCTAGATTACTGTTTTATTATGCTTAGTAGAAAAGGAGGTACGTCCACTTCCTGACAAAAGAGGAAATGAATAGTATATTCAACGTGAAGTGCAAATGTCTTGAACAGAATTATGGATTATCCTTTTTTTCCTCTATAAAGTCCAGCTATTGAACTTTCCTTGAATTAGTACTCAGATATTTCCTAATGTTTTTTTCAGGCACGTCTCTACATGTAACAGGTCATATAATAACATTAATTGACTTTAAAATAGTTATGTCATTTAACCTCATCTCTTTATTAGTGATTTGCATGATGAATTGTCCTGTTCTTTGCAGGAGACACCTTTAGTGTTCTGACTAACTTATTTAGAATATTAATAAATATGTTGAAAATAAAATCATAGCATAAATTATGTGACAAAGAAAATGCTAACATTCTATGGTTCCACCTGCCTGAGAATTATTGGAAACACTTCACTGCAGCAAGTGTGTTGAAAGATTTGAGTCCTTAGTGTGTTGGCTGAACACAGCAAATCAGATGTGGTAATATGTTGCTATTTCTTTTTGAAATAGGCAATATATGTATTCCAGAAGGCAGCAATTCTATGTATGCTCCCAGAGGATGATTTGAAAAGGACTGGTGAAGATGTTGTATCTTTATTCAGGTAAACATTTATAAAGCAACTAGCTGTGCAGTGTTTTTCCCCCATGTAAAAGTTTTTGACTTGAACATGTTTGTTTTGTGTTACTTACTACTTATAACCATCAACTTTTCAGTTTTTGTCTTTGCTTTTAGTGTCAGAATATTTAAAATGCTGCTTTTATTAGCAAATATACGTCCTGCAACTGCAGTCTGAGTGGTCTGAAACAATTTAAGATGTTGTACTTCAGAGGAGAACAGCAAATCTGGTTAAATGAAATAAGATGAAATAGAAATTACATAACGCAACTTCTGGTTTCCATTTTCCCTCCTTGTAGACAGGTGGATGGTCTAAAACAGAGAATTGCAGGAAAATCTATCCCAACTGAGAAGTTTGCAGTAAGGAAAGCTCGACGCTATGCAAGTTCTCAACCAGTGAAGCTGATATTACCTGCCTTGGTATTTATGTTTGCTTTCTTTTCACCCTTTTTGGCTAGAAAAGAAATAAGTACAATTCTTTATACAGGGAAAGAATAATATTAGCAGGTAGTACGTGTCTGCATTTTTCAATATTTTTTTTTTTAAAGAAATACTGCATTCATGTAATGGGAATTTTGTGAAATGTTTTAGGGGCTGGATTATACTACCAACTGCTTGCAATACAAAACCAGTGTCATATTTCTCTTGCGAAAGTTCAGATATACAGAGAGTGATTGCTGTTGCCACATGAGGTTGAAAGTCACCTTTCATCTAGAAACCTGCTTGAGTTTCTAACATATGTGTTCATGTTCTTTTAGTTTGGCAGGATTTCAGTCCTTGTCCTCCTGACTTGTTAGGAATCATAGAATCATAGAATTTTCTAGGTTGGAAGGGACCTTGAAGATCATCAAGTCCAACCATCAATCTAACACTGCCAAAACCACCACTAAACTATGTCCCTAAGCACCATGTCTACCCATCTTTTAAATATCTCCAGGGATGGTGACTCCACCACTTCCCTGTTCCAATGCTTAACAACCCTTTCTGTGAAGAAGTTTTTCCTAATATCCATCTAAACCTCCGCTGGTGTAACTTGAGGCCATTTCCTCTTGTTCTGTTGCTTGTTACTAGTGAGAAGAGTCTGACCCTCACCTCTCTACTAAGCACCATGTCTACCCATCTTTTAAATATCTCCAGGGATGGTGACTCCACCACTTCCCTGTTCCAATGCTTAACAACCCTTTCTGTGAAGAAGTTTTTCCTAATATCCATCTAAACCTCCGCTGGTGTAACTTGAGGCCATTTCCTCTTGTTCTGTTGCTTGTTACTAGTGAGAAGAGTCTGACCCTCACCTCTCTACAGCCGCTTTTCAGGTAGCTGTAGAGAGTGATAAGGTCTCCCCTGAGTCTCCTTTTCTTTAGGCTAAACAACCCCAGTTCCCTCAGCTGCTTCTCATAAGACTTGTGCTCCAGACCTCTCACCAGCTTTGTTGCCCTTCTCTGGACATGGCCCAGCACCTCAATGTCTTTCTTGTAGTGAGGGGCCCAAAACTGAACACAGTGCTTGAGGTGGGGCCTCACCAATGCTGAGTATGGGGGAACAATCACTTCGCTAGTCCTGCTGGCCAGACTATTCCTGATACAAGCCAGGATGCTATTAGCCTTCTTGGCCACCTGGACACACTGCGGGCTCGTATTCAGCCGTATGTCAACCAAGACCCCCAGGGCCTTTTCTGCCTGGCAGTTTTCCAGCCATTCCTCCCCAAGCCTGTTGCGCTGCATGGGGACCCAAGTGCAGGACCCGGCACTTGGCCTTGTTGAACTTAATACCACTAGCCTCAGCCTGTTGATCCAGCCTGTCCAGATCTGTTTGTAGAGCCTTCCTACCCTCAAGCAGATTGACACTCCTGCCCAACTTAGCGTCGTCTGCAAACTTACTGAGGGTGCACTTGATCCTCTCATCCAGGTAATTGATAAAGATACTAAAGAGAACTCGCCCCAGTACCAAGCCCTGGGGAACACCACTTGTGACTGGCCACCAACTGGATTTAGCTCCATTCACCACAACTCTCTGGGCACGGCCATCCAGCTGTTTTTTTTTTCTCCCAGCAAAGAGTACAGCCCTCCACACCATGAGCAGTCAGTTTCTCCAGGAGAATGCTATGGGAAACGGTGTCAAAGGGTTTACTAAAGTCCAAATAAACAACAACCACAGCCTTTCCCTCATCCACTGTCACCTTGTCATAGGAGGTTTGTCAAGCAGGACCTGCCTTTCATGAACCCATGCTGACTGGGCCTGCATGTGCCACATAATGACACTCAGGATGATCTGCTCCATAACCTTCCCAGGCACTGAGGTCAGACTGACAGGACTGTAGTTCCCTGGATCCTCCTTCTGACCCTTGTAGAT